AATCAAGAACTTCTGAATTTTACTAAAAATCTTTCACAAGTCTGGGCATTGGAAATGAATTAACATTCAACAAAGATCTATATAATACACAATCAACAGAGATTAATCTAAGAAATCAAGAAAATTTATCAAATAGCAATTGTAAATAATGATACATCATACCTTAAACCTCAACAAAATCACATGAAAAAGGATTCTTGCCCAGTCAAGACAATTTTCACAGAGGAAAACAGTTTTTTCGACCGTTACAGACGTAAAACCCGCAAAAGGAATGAGAAATAATCGGAAAAAATATTACTAAAACCTTGAAATAAAAAAAAGTAAGGAAATGTTTATCTAGAAAACACGAAAACCGATGAAATAGTGTAAGAAAATAAAGAAAGAAAACCAATGAACACCCACGTTACCAAAAGCGTCCCATCCAAAAAAAAAAGAGAGAGAAAATTTTAGACCATAATAAAAACCCACCTTTGATTTTACTGATCTGGTTTTGCTCATTGCATGGCTTGTTCTTTTGAGCTTCAACTACCTTTTGCATGGTAGAAGACCCTTCGCCATTAGAATTAGAAGCCATTATTATTACTTTTTTTTTTCTTGAAAGGATAAATCTTCAGAGTTTTTATACAGTGAGAGGGAGAGAGTACTGAGGGACAAAGGACAACTATATGGGCTTGGGAAAGCAGAGAGAGGACACTTGATTCAGTCACTGTAAACCCTACAATCCACGCAGTATAATACACAATGACAGGATAAATGATACTGATAACTGGTAAGTTTAGCTTTTATTCGTGTATCTTCATAACAAAAAATAGGCATACATTTAGAGAAAATGACATTCGTTCTCTGTGTATGTGTTTATGGAGTGTGTGTTTTATGAGCTGCATTGTGAGTGGGGGTAAATTTATAGGGCTCTAGAAGGTGGGATGGCGTGGGGTGGGGGCTGCTGGTGCAGGAGGGAGGGGTAGGGGGATGAGTAGTCGCTGCCACAGTACACTTGTTCATTCAGACACGAGTCGACTTTTGTAACTGCCAGACGTCTTTTTCTACCCATTGGCGTTGGGCTTTGCTATTATGAGCCGATATACACTGTGCGCCAACCCCTCTTCCCTTTCTCCCCCACCGTTACTTTGCATGCAGAGATAAGCATACCATAGATTTCTCTGTCACTTTTCGTTCTTATGTGGGCCGCCCGCCAGTTTTGCCCTTAAACCTCAACTTAGGGCCGAGTGGTATCCATCGTAAACATTTTTTAAAGTATCGATTTTGAGCATTTACGAGTGGTATATCCAGCGACGGACCAAACACAAAAGTTCAATTCGGGCGGACGTTGACCATTAACTGCCGCTGATCATAATTTGAATTGTAAATGTGGTTGTACGTTATCTATTAGTCTAATAATGTTTATCGAATAACAATTTGAAGTTTAAAAATGGATCCAATTATTTACTTTCTTTGTTCTATTTGTTAATAATTTTAGTCTAACAGCAAAAAAAAAAATTACTTTTAAGAGGTCGAATTTTAGTAAAAAGTTTTAAAAACAATGAGGGAATATATTAATTATTTGATAAAAGAACATATAGTATTTTGTTACATAAAATGTCACAAATGCCATAGTGGTCAAGTGCTTTATAATTCCAACGGAGTTCACATGTTCGAATCCTCTAATAGCACCAATTTTTATAATAACTATATGCTCCAAAACGGCGATAAATTTTAACAAAATAATTGCCAAAAACAATTGGTATATTTGAGAGTTGAACCCAAGATTTCAGTATACTTGTAAGGTACTCAAACCAATTGAACCACAAACGCCTTCATGAAGAAATGGAAATCACACACACACACACACACACACACACATATATATATAAACGATAATTACATTGACCCAAAAAAAATTTGAATACTAGTGAATCCAGCATAGGCGGGTGCCGGAGCTCGCCGGCTGCTGGATCCGCCGTTGAGTATATCCCTTAGTGAAATTTTTAATTTATAATTTCTTGAATAAATTTTTTTAACACATAAATGAATAATTTACTTATAAGTAACTTCTTATATATTGTAAGTGAATTATTGTCTTATTAAAAGTATTTTTTTATAAACAAATTTTTACATAAAAGTGAATTTTATTTTTATAAGTAACTTTTTACTTATAAGTAAACTTTTTAATTATAAAATAATTTTTTTTAGTTAATATACTTTTATTTACAAGTTCGTTTTGAACAAAATATGTTGGTTGAAAATAATTATTTTATAAACATTAAAATTAGAAGAGAATCTAAGAAACGATTGAAACCCATCGATTTGATTGTTTGAGAGAGACCGTCAAAGTTACATTATATCGTTTTTGGATAATTTTTAAGCATTTCAAAATCAATGCCCAAAAAATTGGTAAACACCAATCTTTTCAACTTCTGGTAAACAGCGCCACTCAAAATCACTCATAGTTGCTGAAAAAAAAAAACTCTCAAGCTTTCCCTTAGAGCTTTGACAACGCGTTTTTTCCTTTTAAAGATGGCCAGAAACTATTTTTTTTTTAAATCTAGTGACTTCCTAATTATTTATTATCCAAATATGATAAGACTCACAGTTATAAGCATGAATAATGCTAATTATCTAGACTCGTGATTAGGTAACATTAATTGGTATGACATCTTAAATGTATAAATATGAGTCTTATTTGTGATGGTAAGTCAATGAATGTCACTTAATTGCCACCTAAAGTCTAGAAAAAAACTCAGTGTTTGGCCTTCATTTTTTTCTCAAATTTATTTTCAATCACATTTAGCTCATGTTTGGTGCCTATCGTTTTAAATTTTTTTTTACTACAAAATCATTATCAATCATACATTTACACAATAAAATATTCTGCATATAAACTTAATGTTTTCCCCTTCTTTTTAATAATACACTCTTCTAAAAATATTGTTCAAAACTATTTTTTTTTTTTGAAATAATGGGCACCAAACAGAGGCTTAATCTTCTTTAACGATGATGGACTCTCGTAAAACTAGCATCGATTCAAATTGTTGACATGTAAGTTGAAAAACAAAATTTAGTTTCATAAAAGACAGACATACATGGTCACATGACAATTTAGAGAAGACTTGGATGATTTTCGTCATTGAAAATGATACTTATTGTGCGACTATAATGTAATATTGAAGGTAATAAGTACAAAATGTTCTCATTGTTTGCACTCATTGCGAAAATCGTTCATATCATTTCAAATTTGGCATTTGCACCCTTATTTCAACAGTTTTCTTACAGAGTTGCTCCTTTCCATCTCATTCCATCAATTCTTTTTATCAAATATGGATAATTGATACAAAACGTCCCTATAATTTTTCTTCACTGCTGCGCAAATCATCAATATCATTTCAATTTCGACATTTGGGGTCCATAGATCAACATTTCTTTATGCAAATGTCCTTATCGTCTATTTATTTATTAAATTATTATAAAATGACTAATTTATCCTCCTCTCTAAATAAACAAATAGAAAGAAAGAAAGAATATAAAACAAGAAATAATTGCACCTAGAATTCTAATTTTTTTTAAAAAGAACAAATGAGTTTCACGTAAAACAATTGAGTACATACTAAAAAATATCATCTTCCCAATTAACCCCACCTATGCCTCCCCCCCATCCTCCACCACCACCACCGTAACGACTCATATCTTAAGATTTGAATTCGTTATAAAAACGTGCTTTTAGATCTTCGAAATTTGGGTTAAATTAAAAATTTTCTTATTTCTTTTTTATTTCGTAAATTATCCTTGTGTTCTATCATAAGTTCCAACAACTAATGAAAACAAATGACTTAACTTAGTTAACTTTTGTTTGTTGAATAAACAAAACTTTTATTTGGCATTTACACCCTTATTTCAACATTTTTCTTGTGGAGTTGGTCATTTTCATCTCATTCCATCAATTCCTTCGATCAATTATGGGTAATTTGAGCAAAACGCCCCTATCATTTTTCTTCATTTTGCAAATCGTCCATATCATTTCAATTTCGACATTTGGATCCTTAGATCAACCTTTCTTTATACAAAATGTCCTTATCGTCTATTTTCTCTATTAAAGTATTATAACATGAATAATTTACNTAAATAAACAAATAGAAAAGAAAGAAAGAATATTTTTTTAAAAAAAAGGAAATAATTGTATTTAGATTTTTTATTTTTAAAAGTACAAATGAATCTCATGTAAAACAATTAAATACATACTAACAAAAAAAAAAAAAAAATCATCTTCTCAATTACCTATCCCCACCGTCCACCCGCCACCACCACTGTAATGACTCATATCTTAAGATTTGGATTTGTTACAAAAACGTGCTTCTTATATCTTCGAAATTCGAGTTAGATTAAATTTTTCCTTATTTTTTTTTATTTCATAGATTATCCTTATGTTCTTTTATAAATTCCAACAATTATGAAAAAAAAATGACTTAACTTTGTCAACTTTTATTTGTTGAATAAACAAAACTAAAGTGAAATATGGAAATGGAGGTTATCTTACATTAATGGAATTCAACCTCCAATGCGCTACCCAATTATTGGATCTTTTCTCGGGTATGGAATTCTATGAAATTTTTATAATATTTCTTAAACTCATTCAAGTACAACATAGGAAAATTTTAGATTTTTTTAACATCATTATTCACTCTGTTAGGTTTTAGATATTTTGTAATTGACAATTCTGTAAACAAAAGAACTAAATTGTAATGTGTTTAAAAAGTCAAGGAGTAATGTGAAAATAGTTGAAAATAGAGTTATTAGGTCTATGGTTCGAGAATGGCAAAAAGAGAAAAACGGCGCGAATTTTCACTAGACTGTCGTCAATGTTTAACTCGAGCTACAAAAGCAAAAACATTGTCGCTGGACTGTCACCCCTTCCTCGCTCGAGCGACATACTATCGCTCGACCTTTGCTGAGCCTTCGCTCGAGGGACATGTTTATCCCGAAAACTTTTTTTTCGCGATTTAAAACTTTTTTACTCGACCAATTCGTTTTTCTAACCTACCTATATATTCCAAAACACTTCGATTTTATCTTTCAACATTCATCTACTTTGATTATTTTGGTGAGAAAAATATTGTTTTTATAATCCAAATACCAAACTATTTTTCCTCTACATCTGGTCAAAATTCTGAAGATCTAGAGAGTTTGACTAGAGTTTCAGTCTGTGAAGAACGCGGTGTTTTTCGTTGATCCACAAGGTTAGGAGTGTTGTGGTGTAGCAAATTTCACGGAGAGTTTTGACAACAACAGTTAATGATTGGTGCAGGGAAGCACGAGATTCAGGGAGAGCTGTAAGGAGTGCAGTCGAGTGATCAGATAGTACGGTTCGTCTAATCTGATAGACTGTAAGTTGTTTGAATTGTTTAGAGTAGATTGCTTAGCAAAGTGCAAGGAGTTTTTCACAAGTGGGTTTCTCCGTGATCATCGTGGTGTTCATTTAATGCTTTCGTTATTGTTTATTGATTGATTATATAAACTGCAATTTTTAAAATTAGGACTAAAATGACTTGTATGTTTAATCATCTAGAGAAGAATTAAAAAGTG